AAAACATCAAAACCATTCTAATTGACTTCGTTGGCATACTTTTCTCAGGTCAGATGCGACTTTCATCTTTGCAGTTGACTTGCATTAAATCAATAAAGTGATCAACATTGGGTTGCACTCATTACCCTTACACAGACCTAGTCTGTGACCTAGTGTGGTAACTGTTACAAGTCACATTGGAGACGAACCTCTGCTTATGCAGACTCAACAATGCTTGTCATTTACTCTGACGAATCCAACTTGTCTTTCGTTGATGATGTCTGTTTCTTCATCTGATTTTTGAACATGGCTTTTGGTGGGTTTTTGGTAAAGTTTCTAAACGTGGTAAAAACGTTAACGTTGACTCTGTGATGACACAATTCCACTTACGATTGACCAAAAACTTGATATCGATCTAAAATTTTCAATCACAAATCAAAACAAGAATGTTTTCGATGAAAGCTAAAATTGAACATCAAACCAGGAACTGAATCAACTGACCGAATCACAAGGAAATTTTACATTCTTTACGAAACAATATCAATAGCATTTCGAGTACAAATGGGAATATCGAAAGTTGAAAGTTAAACTTGTTTGATGAATAGAAAAGCGTTACCGATGAAAGTTACAATTAATGGATGAAAAGATTGAAATGAAAAGTTGAGTAAAGTTGAAAAGTTATTGTGATGAGCAAGTGAATTAGTTGAATGTCAGTTATCATATTAATGTTATTATCTTTATTAATATTAATATTTAAAGCGCCTTTTCTTGAGAATGCTTTTAAGCTGCTTGAAAGAGTAAAGAAAAATCTGAAAATGAATAAAATATTGAACAGCTGAAATGGAGATAAAATGAGAAAAGCTGTTTCCGTTTCATTTTTTTTCCTCCTTACTCTTCAATGTTGCTAATTCTGACCTTGGAAATGAACTAAACCTTCAATCTCTGGGAATTGATAATATTATATTTCTTTACTCTATTATATTGCCTCTGTACTTGGCTTAATCTCAAGAGGTATTTACCTATGCATATATGAAGAGCTTTGTACTCTTACGATTCATAAGCACATGAATATGAATATGGAAATTTATGAGGCTCATGATTCCCTTTTGAGGTTTCAGTTTCTCCTCTTTTTTCCATTTCGCCATCTTCATCATCTCTCTTCATCTATCCTTTGGGCTTGAATTCAATTTTTCCTTCTCTTTTGCCTTCTTCTTGAAAAGCAAATTATTGACTTTCATTGAGAGGTAAAATGGGAATACAATGAATGCTCTTGAAATGAGAATCATTGGGAGTGAAAAATTAATATCAATAATGAATGTTGAAATGAATTTTCCAAACTAATATTTTTCTCTCTCTCATCATGTATCAATAATCATCAATATTGAATAAAAGAGTAGAAAAAACGAGAAAAGAGAAAAAAAATATTCATTAAAAACCAAATATTCAATTGACAATGGAATGAGCAACTTCATTGAAATCGAAAAAGAATTGCAAAGTTCATTATTTTAATAGTTTTGTATAAATTAATTTCTACCTTGAATGGTTACAAGTGAACCAAAGTTGGAGTTTCATTTTGAATCAACTATTAAGGTCGATTCCGTGACTGTTTGATTTGTGAGTTTATTTGAACGACTTGAAAAGCTTTTAATTTGTCAGAGAAAATTTGAAAATTTTTCAATTCTCATTGTTTATTGAGATACAGTGTGGGAGGAAAAACTCCCAGTGATTGAAGTTGAACCAAATGTTGACTTGGATTTAAGGAAACATTTGAATCAATCTTGCGCACTTTTCCAGTAAAAATATTACTCAACGATTCGATTCATTAATCTTGTCACGTTCATTGGATGGACTTGGAAAGTGTTCAATTTCAAGCTTTCAAAAATGTCACTTTTCTCAAAGGTTGCCTTTGATCCGTCAAATAGTACAAAATTATTTTACTCAAAACTCGAGTCATTGAGATAAATTTGACTTGACATTTACTTTGGGTCAATTTAATGGCTCATAAAGCTCAAACTAGATCAACAATTTATGTTATTAAATTGAATCATCAATTTTCCGTCTCTAGTCATTTTCGAGGTTTTGGACAATTTCAAGGAATCTGAAGAGATTTCGAAATGAAGAAAGAAAAATTGAAAATTCTTAAAATTCTGTTCTCAATTATTGCGAATGCACTTAAATTGAGTAAGAGTCGCTAATGAAGATAAAGCAAAGTTCTGGGAGTGAAAAATATCAGTTTTCAGTTTCACTGTAAATTTTTGTTCTTTTCATGAATTTCTTTTTTTGGAAGCTTACATTTCTTCTTAATTCTGTCGTTCTAATCATGTTCTGTCTAAACTCTGATATTTGTTTTTTTTCTCTTTCTTTTTATTCCATGAGTTCTCATAATTTTCTTAATATCAAAGTCACAACAAGATGAATGTTTAAAAGAAAGAGTCTGAAATGTCAGACACTAAATTCAAGTCCATCTTTATTCAATAATTCATGATAATCCGAGTATTATTGGTTCAATTTTCTGTTGACGAAGAAAAGGTTTTGAATATTGTTGTGAAAATGAAGAGGATTTTATTGAAACTGTATTAATGGGTTGAGATAAACTTAAAATTTCTTCTTCTTCTTCTTCTTCCCTTCCCTTCCCTTGCAAAAACTGGTTCCTATACTGGGAGTGAATAATGATAATAGCAATATCATTGAATAATAATCTAATTGTGGTAATGAAAAAATAATCGTAATCTATTTTTATCCATTACTTTCCTTAGATGAGAATAATTTGGTGGAAGAAAGAAGAAGAAACTTGTATGTAAATAAAGAAATTGGATAGACTCTGAATCTTGGAATATTATTGTTCATTTTGTTTCTTGTTTTTTTTTTCGTTGGAGAAAAAATTTCGACAGAATTTTGAGGAAAAGGAAAAATTGGAGCAAAAATGGGAAAACATTTTCATTGGAAAAAGGATGAGCCTCTTAAATTACGGAAGTTCAACTTTTTGCTCTTTTCCATGAATGATGAATAGCCAAAATTGAGTAAATTCCAGTTGAACTGAAATGAGCATTTCCGTTGATAAACATAGTAACGAACGAAAAGTTGACCATCAATAAAATGTAAACAAACTGACCAAAGAGTAAAGTTAAATAGCTTTAGGTTATCAACATGTAACATGAGAAAAGATAAACACGAATGTTTGTTCAAGTTTCATTGTAAAAGTATCAATCGTTGGGACGAATTGGTGAAACAAAATGAAACAGAATTTGAAATTTTGCAAAAAAAAGTTTTTCTTCAAGTGCTTCAACTTTTAACTTTACATTTGACAGGTTAACGCACTTGAAGTTGACGGTCAACCTGAGTTTCAATTGTTCATTGACCCAAGCATTTACTGGTCAAGTTGGTTATTTTTAGACGGAAAATGTTCTCATCTAAATGTGCAAATCTCTGGATCTTAAAGTAATCTCGTTCCAAGAAAAGATTTAGATGATTGGCCATGAGAAGGTTAAGAATAGCAGAATCGAGTTATTCTTGGGTTCGTTAGTCGTTCTAGTCTAGTGAAGCATTTTTCAACTTTCGTAAGCGGAAAAGGATTTTAGGAGAAAAAAACGAAAAACAAAAAGTTCCTTTTTCCTGTAAATCAATTAGAATGTTTGAGGTTGACATGGTGATGAAAATTTTTCATGAATTTGATTAGTAAATTGAGGGTAAAACTTTTTTGTCGAACTTCTTTTTTCTCGTCTTTTTTCTGCTGACATTTACACTTTTATTCATTAATAATGTTGGATAAAAATGCATTTAAAGTTTTCTTTTTTTTCTTTCTTCTTTTTTCTCTCTCTTTTTCACTTTCATTCGCTCCATGGTTCCCTGAGTTTCTTCTTGATAGTCACCGACGTCACCATGAATGTTGACAATGAATTGCGTGAAGTCGAGTTAACATGACGTTAACAAGTGAATACAATGATATGACTTATATGACTTGATAATCGAATAATGAAACTTTTCAAAGATTTCAGGGGAAAGTACAAAAAGTGAGTAAAATCACCGAATCATGCATCTAGATCGTTTCATTTCTTTTTTTTGTGGAAATCTTTTTTTCTTCTTTTTCTTTTTATACTCATTTTCATTCGACTCTTCTTAATCATCTTCATCATCTTCTCTCATCTTTACCCTGTCAACACAATAAAACAGGAATAATGGTTTATCCATTAAACAAAAGGCTTCTCAATGTGATAATCATTATCAAAATTTAGACGGAAAACTATTTTTATCCCAACAACAACATTTGGAAATGTTGAGGGAACACTCAGTTTCACTCCCGGCTGCTTTGGACCTTTTATATTGAAACGCCATTTTCAATCAAGTTAATCATTATTCTTCAACAAGATTATCAATTCTTTCAACTTGTTTCTTTTCATTACTATCGTGTTGACAGAATCAACAAAACAGAAAGTAAACTCTTTTTTTTTCTCGAGGAAACAATTATTGTTATCATCTAATGTTGAGTACTCAATGCAAACCCTTCATGTTGTTCACCATTACAAGGTTCACTGAACTCGCCTCTTAAATGCACTTTAATCAAATTCAAACCGATAACAAGTGTTTCACAGGATTGATCATTTTGCATGAACCAATCAGTGATTCTTTTGCTGAAACGAAACTCTTTAAAAGCGATTGGATAAAAGAGTTTGGAATGAACACTTTCTTCATGTTAACGAAATACTTTTTTTGAATTTCTTTTCAAATTGCATTTCGAATATCGAATTAATTTTTCTATTTCAAATTATTTTACAACAGTTTGACATGCGATTCCAGGATTTCCAGAATTTCTGTTTTTACAATTCGAAATCAACTTTTGCCGATTTTGTGAAAAAGCAACAATTATCGAGACAAGTTATCGGTAAATTTTTGCAAAACTTGAAATTGAAGAGAAAATTTGACCGAAATTTTCATCTTTTTTGGAGTTTTGAGTTTTGGAGTAAAAATCGGAAAATGTTGAAACTCTTTGGATAAGTGAAACGAAATGTTACTGTGAAACTTACCGATTTGTGGTACATCATAAGGTCGGCTCGATCGACGTGCAATCCGATGAAAGAGACTTTGAAAGTCTCCTTCTTGGCTATTGTCGTATGATTGCTTTATTGGTAATGATTTTTTAGTTTGCAAGTAATGAGACAATTGAGTTGGATTGGATGACAATATTGAATAGGAATCAGGAGACACTGATGAAGGTGAAGATGATTGCAAGGGTGAACCCAGTGATGCTGATGATGATGTTATTGGTGAATATGATTTTGATTGTGATAGAAGTGATGATGATGATGATGATGATGGAAAGACCGGCAATTTGGATGATAATAAAACTGGTCGAGAGTGCGACATGGAAGATGCAGAAAAATCATCTTCAAAGTTATCAAGATTACCTGTTAATCGAATGCAAAGGAGAAAAGGAAAAAGAAAAAAGTAAACAAAAGTTTATTTTTGAACACAAAAAGACATTAAATTTTTTCCTCTTTCATTTGTTATCCTTTTCATCAACTCCAACATGAAACATTGTTTCCTCATGAGAAGATTTCATTTCTATTTATCATGCAAACTTGAAACTTCTATTTTTCTTCATCGACTTAATCAAAGGCTCAAAAATTACATCATCAACTAATCAGGTAATTTCATTAAAATTGTAACCTAATACCATGTTGACAACATGATGAGAATAGTTTTTCATGAGATAGAAAAAAAACTGATTCAGTTTCTATTTAGTCTTTCAAATGTTGACCTAATTTGATAAAACTTTTTTTGTTATGAAAAAGGAAAGGATTTAACAAGATAAATATCGATGTTGTATGTTTATCATCAAAATTGAATATGAACTTACCTAGAGAACTAGAAGTTAAAAGATTTTCCTTACTAATCTCATTATTATTAATATTAATATCATTATTGTTGTTGTCGTTATTATTGGTGTCTTTATTTAAATTATTGTTATTGATAATGTTATTATCGTTAGCGTCAACAGCCAAAATACATGGAGAGAGAAGGAATAAAATGATTAATAACAAATTTATTGATGTTCTTAAAGTGGATCCACAATTTGAAAGCAGAAAATGTAAGAAACTTTTCAAGGAAACATTTTTATTCACGTAAATGATCATTGATTGAAGCCGAGGTTCAACTGGAGCTTGATGCTGTTGATGAGTGCCTCTAGGTTGATGTTTAAGGTTGTCATCAGGGTGACCATCTTGAGGTTGCCGATGAGAGTTGACAGTTGACCTGCGATGTGAAGGTGCTAAGGATGATGATGATTCAGGTTGTGCTGGTGATGCAGTGAGAGTGGGTTGAGTTGAACGGTTTTCCAGCTGCGATAACATTTCGTAAAGCAAGTGACGGTCAACATGAAGAAAGTCAAACTTGCTTTTCACTGTTTTGTTTTCCTTCGTTAACTCAAAATTTGATTCAATTGTATCTTCTCTTGCGATTGTTTTTGTATTTAGTCGATTTTTCTTCTTCTCTCAAATTGTTATTCCATTGGGCGATAAAATATTGAATCCATAGTGAAATGAAACCAGGAAGTACCATGAGATGTTGGGTGTTGCACTATACTGGAATATGAAACATTTTCAACATTTCGTGTTTACAATTGGAAACAATTTAAAGTTGGCCAATTTTTTCTCATAAAATTAAATGCAGATAATCACGAGAAGGCAAATGCTAAAATGATGAAAACTGATGAAATGGTTGCTCGTGAAATGAGCTTGAATGCATCAACTTGTTCGAGTTGTTTGTCCATAAAATTGATGAAAAAAAAGTTGAAAGTGTAACAATCTTTTGACTAAAATTGTTGTTGAACTCAATGTTGAACTTATTGTTGTGAGTTGAAAAAGGTTGTAAAATGAGTAGTTGTTGAAGTTAAATGTTGAAATGAAGTTGTACATTAGATGAACTAGAGTTTGTTTTGTTTTCCTTGTGTTTCTGTTTCTCTCTTTTTTTCTCGTGATTGTTCGTTGTTCAACTGCGCATTCCAGATCAAGTCATGATCATCATGATTTGGATGTAACAAGATGATGATGGAAATGAAGATAAAGAAAAATAAAGAAAGAGATAAACTGACGCATGAACCAGATCAATTGATTCAAAAATTGTTATAACCATTAGTTTATCACTTTCTGCCTTCCTCTCCTTATACCAATCATTTTCATCCAAACATGATCGTCCCTTAGCTTGTCTTACTTTTCACTAATCAGAATGTCAAATCAAAGTTCCGTTGAAAAAGAATCGCCCAGAATGTTGAATAAAAAAGAGAAAATCTGATAAAGACAAAGAAGTTCACCAACGAAATGAACTAATAATCAGTTGGATAAAAGAAGAACTATTAACAGTTCCGGTGAATAGTAAAGGTAGCCGTTGGTAATGATGAAGATGTTAATGATAAGAAAGGTGTATGATGAGAAGAAGAGAAAAAGGTTGACAGGAAATTTCCGAGAAAACTTGTGCTTGGAATATTGAATGGACAAAAAAAGTAAAATATTTAGGTGTCTTGAAACAAGTGAAGAGGTGGAATGATATTAATCGATTTACACCTTTCAATTTTCTTTATAAACTCAAGTTATTCAATTCCTTAACAATTGAAGACAATTATTGTGACCCACAGCGGAAGTGAGAATGGTGAATAAAGGCAGACAAAAGATTGAATATCTGAAACTCAGCATCAACTTCCGATTAGAAAAGTAAGGCTAAAGAGAATGAAAACGATCAATTGTAATGAAATTGAATGAACAGATGAAATCATGTTAAATTAGATTAGAAACGAAAGGTTAATGAAATTGTTCATTTACCAATAAATGGTTTGTTACAATATTGTAATCTTGTTATTACAAGTTGGCAAACAAACGAACATGCAAATGTGCCAATATTAATATTCAAAGTTTTCGAGTTTCAAGAAACGGTTCGATCAAGAGATTTTTGGAAAATTTGAGTTCGAATGTTTTGTTTTGCGATTTTTTTGTTTCTGTCATTGGATCAAAGTAGGAATATTTATTTCAATTTTGTTTCTTTTTCTATCATTTTGAGCTTGGAATCGAGTTTTAATCTATAGAGACTTGGAGGATCGTTGGAGTAATCGAGTTGTCAGAAGTGAAATTGAGATTCATTGGAATTTGGGTGTAAAAAAGAAAATATTCAATTTCTTTCGATGAAATTATAGTAAAGTCGTCTTTCAAGAAGTAAATAATTATATTCAAACATTTTTGATTCGTAAAAATGAAGAAAGTATTTTCTTATTTCTTTATTCAAAGGGAATTCCTGGGAGTTGAAGTTATACATTTAACTCCAATTCATGATGATAAGAATTTAAAATTTTCCTTTCTTTTCTTTTCTAATTAAAATTCGTAATTAATCAATTTTTCGCCTTATCAATTCACTTCAATTGTTCTATTTTTTGCACACAAAATTTTCTTTTCTTTAACACTTAAGATCATTCAAATCAAACTGAGCTTTAAATGATTAAAATTCATAACAATATTTCAATAAAAATTCCAATCACAAAAATCCTTTATCAATAGGAACTTTTCTCATCAACATTTTAATGTTAGATTTTCTTCCATAAAAAATCAGTAATTCTCACTGAATTTTGCTCCTATTCTGTGAATATGTTACCAAAGAAGTCGATGTTCATTGAGAACAGAAAACAAAAAATAAAGCGATTACCAGAAAAAGGGTTTTATTGGGTTTTAAGGCACTTATTGGGTTAAACTTTATCGATGCTAAACTTTATATTAAAACATGAAAATTGAACAGATAAAGATGATTGAACCTTTTTTGGACTGGAATCCAATTCATGGCTTGTCTTCGATGGGAAATGATTGAAACTTTACTGGATTCACCTTCGTCTTAATGAAAATATCGAATGTTGAAAAGATCAAAAGATGGACCAGAGAATTGATTCGTTATTAAAGTAATTGCAATTAAGCTTCATTTTTTCATCTCTATTTTTGATGTCATCAGTCCATCATTAGCTTCATTAGTATCCTTTGCCATTTCATTGAAACTATCGTTTTTGTTTCTGCTTCAAGGAAATCTCAGAAATTTGGAAAAGGTCGAACTGAGAAGGAAAAAGATTTGAGATTCAAAGTGAAAATTTTTATTCCTTTCAATCCCTTGAATTATTCAACAGTGAATACACAGATTACTCTGGATTCAGGTTAATTTTGTTTTTGTCAGACAGTGAAATGCAGAGTATTGACATTTGTGTATAAATTTAATAATAATGGTTTGGAGTTATTGTTTAGATAAGATGAGATAAAAATATTGAATGAGTTTTAATCAAGATAAAGATGAAAGTATCATAAAAAGGGTAAATAGAGGGGACAAGTGAACCATTGCCACCCACTCTTGGTGTGACAAAAGGCCATGTCAATGTACACTTTTGTCATTTGATTCATTCATTTATACAACTTGACCAAATGTAATATTTTTGGGAATCAAAATTTTTTCTTCTCTTCTTAATACACTTTCATCCATTGTTATCATTTTACCCGAGCTTGTCTTATTGTGACTCTTTTTGTCTTCTCCCTTTAATAACATTCAATTGAATTCAATTGGCCAAGTTAACAATTGTGACTGTAATCAAAAAAGGAAACCAAATGATCACATTCAATGATAAAAGTTCATTTTAATTGCGTATTATCATTAATGCTATTATAACTATTATTATCATTGATTGCCATTGTGAACTTTTATCATTGATTACATTATTTTCATCTTTTCATTATCTCATTGCGATTGTGGTCAACATCAACAGAGGAAAAACCAACGCAAATTTTTTTCTCTCTTCTGATCCAATTTTTTTCTCATCTTGACAGTATCATGAACCATCGTCCTAATCATCGTAAAATTACAATCTCTTAGTCTTCCCTTCCGACTGAAACTCCATTAGAGATAATCTTGAATTTAGATTATTTAAACCTACGATTCCATTGTTTTGTTTGCAGCATAAAATCATTCAGTGAATTGGTTACACTGAAGGCGCTCAGAAGATTCAGTTCACTCTCTTTAATAAGAAAAGTCGCCATCAAATTAGATTATTCAAGCTTATTGAAAGAATCCAATTTTTCAAACAAAATAAAATTTTTCAGTTGAATTATTGTTTCATCAAAATTCATAAAATTAATGATTTCAACTGAATCACAATGAATCCCTGGCCATTACTGTACATTAAAATTTTTGCTCAATTCAAGTCAAACTGGCAATTTCCATGTCCCATTGGAGTATAATTACTAATAATTTGATTTTTTGGAAAAATTAAAATCAAAATATTCGTTTTGGTAAAACATTCGTTTAGATATTATGATTCTTCAATGATAGCTAACACACTTCACACATTTGAATCAGCTTTTAAATAACTGGGAATTTGAGGGATTTTTCATTCAGTTTGAGTACTTCAATGATTTATCAGTCCAGACATCGAAGCAAATGGGAAAGGATTTCAATGTTTTCTTCCAGTTGAAAGCGTTTCTATCCAATATCACATTCATATCTAAATTTAACCTCATCGCTATCAATCTTAAAGCAATTCAATAATAAATGCTAGACTGAAATGGGTTTCCCAAAAATGAATGTGCCAAGATGCTTCTCTCTTCAGCCAGTTTCCACCAGTTGTTCATCATCTTTTTTGCCAACTTTAAAGAATCCTTTTCGATAGCAATTGAATCTTTGTGCTGGTTACTGTCTAGTCGGTTTGGTTGTTGAATATTGTCTGAGGAATTGGAAAAAAAGAAATAAACGAAATGAATAAGAATGAAATGGGAAAAAATAAGTTGATAAAGATGAACTGAGACTTGGAGCACGTTGAGAGTTGAAAGGAGAGAGGGAAATTGAAGCGATTGTTGGTGGAAATTATGATGATAAGAGATAAAATAAGATGGATGCTGGAATAGAAAAGATAATGATGATGAAAAGGGTGAAAAAAGAAGACAAGAATAGACTGATGAAGAGGGAAACAAGAGTCATTCGCATGTCCATTCATGAAACGGAAATGTTGAATTGAGCTGGAGCTAAATGTTAACAGTGAACATAAACTAAAAATAACTTTACAATCGATACAATCGTTTCAATTTTCATTCTTTTATCTTAACATGTTCTTTCCCTCTTCTCTTCTCTTCTAACATCAACATTATCATTATCGTCCTCCTCCTCACCATCATCATTATCATCTTTCTCTCTTCGCCATACCACATCTTACCCTTTTCCATCTCTCACATGTTCCTTCAACTTGAGAAGGAGAATGATCGACATCAAACGAGATAACTCAATCTCAGAACTTTGTTTCCTTCTTTTTTTCCACTGCTTTTCGTTTACGTCCTCGTCTTTATCATCTTTTTTTCTCATCCTTATTCTTCTCGTGAGTCGAGCTTCCTTCCTCTCTTCGTTTCTTCCTCTTTTTTTTGCTCCTTTTTATCTTCAACGATCGATATTAGTCTAACCATAAAGACAAACATTTTGCTTGTATTTTTCTTCTGGTTATTACCTTCATGGTTTATATCATGAGATGAAGCTAGAGCTAAGCTGAGCTACACTCTAAGCTAAAGCAAAGATGTATTTTAAGCCAATGTATCATAACCCTGCAAGAAATTAGATGAGTTGTTGATTAAAATAATTAATATTCAAATAAACAATTAACATACCATTGCCAAGCTTTGACAGTATCATCAACGCTACCAGTAACAATGAACGTATTCTCGCTATTATTGTTTTCTCCTCCTTTACTGATTCCTAGACTCCAATGGTACCATCATGGGCCTGTTCCTCTCGACGTAATACTTTGAGCTATCGGTAATTAGCTAATAAAATGAATAAAAAGGCAATAAAATTAATCAAAATGGGCCAGTAATTAGAAAAAGCAAAGAAAAACTTACCATGTTGGCCATTCACTATTGTTAATGCATTCAAAAATTAATACCTATCATCAGTTTTAAAATATTGCGGCAAATGATAAAGTTGACTGACGCCATCTAATGTTATAACTTATAACAAATAGAATAACAAAGTTGAATCAAAAATTAGATAAAAAGCCAATTAGAGTTAAATTAAACAAATTAACTCAATTGTCTAAGTAAGAGTCTTTTGTTGCTTATTTCTTTGCTCGATTTGTAGTATTCGAAAATATTCTCATTGACGATGGTTTTTTCATCAATAATTTGATCAGCTTCTTGTTGTATTAAAGAAATTTCAAACAATTTTTTGTTAAATATACTCTTTGATATTTATTTATTGATTAGATTTAAGTCACAATTTATAATGAATAGACAGTCTATTCAAAATTTACAATTTACAATAGTTACTTCATTTAATAAGCTTTATAAACTGGAGCAGCACTTATTTTATCCACAAAATGGGAAACAACTTTTGCTGGTTTTCCTTTGGGTTGTCTGATGATTGTTAAGATAACTAAGTCCTCAGCACTTAATTTTGGTAATTTAGTTAAAGCTTTGGGATCCAATTGCAAGTTGATTGGAATTTTGTTTACATGGGAATGTTTCGTTAATTTAATTGACTTGAGAGCACCAATGAGAGATTGAATCTTTTTTCTTTTTTCAACGATGAACTTCAATTCCAATGCACGGGGATCGATTGAGATTGGTTCAAAGGCTTTCTTTGTTGCTTTCTTAACCACTGTGAGCATCACAATATCAGAATCTCTTAATCTTAAAGTACAAATTTCTTTAAGTTCTGGTTTCTTTTCCTCCTTTTTAACCACTGGTTCAGCAGGCTTGTAGGCAGGTTCAGGTGAAGGCTTGGGTGAAGGCTTAGCTAGTCCAACGACCAATTCACCTGTTGGCTTTTCGTGTAGACTTTCACTTAAATCATCTAATTTGCTATTCAAACCACTGTACCAATCTATTGAGAAAAGACAAAATAAAGGAAAAACAAAACATGTGATTAGTTACTTTTCAATTAAAATAGAAGAGACAAAACATAAGAACAAGAACTTACCTTTAAGCACATTGGCATTGGCAAAATGAACCATGAAGAAGATGTGAACGAGAATAGATTTGATATACATATTGTACTTTTAAGGTAGTTTTAGGTATCACAAAGACTAGAGTAATAACTAGAAGATGTTTAAGGTGAAAGTGTTCAGAGCAAATGAAGTTGCAAGAATGATACTTTTGTCCAATTTCACATTGACTTTTATACCCAAGTTTCTGGACGATAAACGGGTTAAATCAAAAGAGTTTAACTTGAGGTTTGTTTGTGGCAGGCAAGAAAGGTTCGTAAGAAGTTCAACCGCAGATTCTAGAATGTATGGTTTGCCTATTTGTAGGTTAATCGTTTTAGTTTATGTTTTCGGGCCATTTTAAAGGGTCTAATCTGGCGGTTGAAATATACGTGTTTGACAAGAAATAAACTCAGGAGTAAACTCCCGAAGACTTTCTAGAATCTATGAGTTCAACTCTCAATGTCTTAAAATGTCAGGATTAAATGAAAATCAAATTACCTTTTCATGATATCAATCAGGTTTGTCTCTTCTCCAACTCTTCGCATTGTCTGAGTGCAACTCGACTTTGAAAAAATGTAAGTCATGATGTCAACGAGGAAGATACTTACCTATTGTTCCACTGAGATTTGATCCAAAAAGGTTGATTGATGCGATTTATTGTGACAAAAACTGATTTGTTGGCTCGTCTTTGGATCATTTGGTATTCAGGCAGACCAACGTAAATTTGTTTTAAATTTAGGGTCAGAACAGCCGGTTGGATGTTATTATCAATCCAGACCTCAATGCTTTCTCTCCATTAAAGGTGAAAATTGGTTACCCCAACATAGTTTTACCTATGGCACACTGACAAGTACTTGTGAGTACTTAACGGTATCGTTACCGTATAATGACAGACCCTGACTTAGAGGCGCCTAGCCATAATCCCTCGGACGATAGCGTCGTGCCATTGCTCGGTCGAGCAGGCACATGTACCATTTGTCCGAACTCTAATTAAATACGTTAATTACAAATTGATCGAGTTATTTTTAATAAAAATCGCAATTATTTTGATTTGTGGTAAGGTAGTGCCATCTATGCTATTCATTAGAAGTTATGGTAAGTTTCAGCTGTTGAAAGCAAATGAAATCAATTTATTCACGTTTTTGTTGCTTCGAAGATTTATTATTTTGATGATTTTGATGAAAAATGTTGATCAATAAAATTTGTAAGTTAACTTGTAATTATGGACATACATTCAATAGATTTATATCTACCACATCGATAAAGATGGTCCGAAAATGTAAGTTGCTTTTTCGTGAATTTTGCACATGTTTTTGTTTATCTTTTTTTGAATTGGACTCTCATTCATTTGGTTTCTTTTTCTTTTTTTATTTTGAAGTGGTCATTGAGGAAAATGATAATGTTACTGTGGTCAAAGGAGTTGAAATCGATTCTGATAGGAAGCAAAGTTTGATTCCATCAGTTGAGAAGAATCCGGCCTGTCCTCTGTGCAGATTAAATTTGAAGAATCTTTCTTATACGGTTAGTTACCTTGTTCTTGATTTATACTAATTTCAAAAAGTCAACAATCAATCAAAAATCATCTCTTTTTACTACAGGATATTCTTATAATCGGACAATTTGTCGACGAAAATGGTAAAATGATGGCTCGGGAAGATACAAGACTTTGTAATCGCCAATACGGAATTGTCAAGCACCTAATTCGTAAAGCTCAAACTTGCCGTTTATTACCACGACCAAAAGATTGGCCTGAAGCTGCTGGTACATATGATAAGCTGAATAGCTACTATATGTATCCATACAAAAGACGTGATGACATGTTTTGGACTGTCAAAGATAAATATTGGAAATAGTTTGAAATTTGTAGCATTATGTAAATAGATTGTTAATAGTAAACTTTTCTCCTCAAAAATTTCATGATAGATTTCATTTCATAAGAGATCAGTAAGCAACTCAGAATTTTTCTCCTATTCTGTTAGCGTGGAAGACGATAATCATTGAGAACAGATAAATAAATACAAAGGTAAAGTGATTACATGTAAAGGGTTTAGACTTATTGGGTTAGATACAATATCGATGTTATACTTCATATTAAATCTAACATGAAAGTTGAACAGGTAAAGATGATTATGTTGAAGATTGTTTGGTCTGAACTACAATCCAATTCAAGGCTTGAGTTTACACTTTTTTCATGTCTCTCCTTTACGTATATTAAAGACCAGATGATTGCACTTTTACTGGATGCACTTAGAATAGTTTGAGTGTCTCAGTGAAAATATCAAATGTTGAAAACAATGGAATCGACAAATAAACCAGAAAATTGAATTTTTATTAAAGTAATTGTAATTAAATGGAACAACAGCTTCAATTTTATATCTGTATTTGATGTTATCAGTCCATCTTTAGCTTCATTAGAATCCTTTGCCGTTTCATCCAAATAAATAATCGTTTTTTCCTTCTTCAAAGAAAATCTCAGAATTTCTGGAAAAGGTCGAACTTTAAAGAAAAAGATGAGATTTAATAAGGCTTTTTCCTAAAAGAGCATCCATCCTTCAGTCTAGCTTTACCACCAGTTGATGTACAAAGGATTGTAGCGCAACCTTTGCACTGCACAGCAGTTTGAGCGTGGCTGAATACAGTTGTAATGGTCCAGCAACCTAAAACACAAATCATTGTTAAAAAAGGAAATGAAAATGATGGAATTAATTTTTGAATTACATTGTACAGATAAACTTTTAGCTGTTTCTAAGTCACGTTAACATACCTGGGCATTTGACATCCATAAAATAAGAGTTAGGATGTTGGACTAATCGCTTAAGTTTACATTTCCTCCTTTCTTCCTCTGGACTTGGATGAAGTAAATCTCTTGCTAACTGCGGAAAAACAAAAAACAATTATAATGAAATGTTGAAATTACACACAAATTTTAATCAAACTTACGGGCATATTGAAATATTACTAGTTTTTCACAATCTAAACAAATTAATAGACCAGACAGAAGAAGTACGTCCAACAGAAGGGTCACAATTTAAACTTAATTGTTCCTCACCGAAATTCTGTCTTACTCACAATACATGAATCGCATTGCCTTAGATTTAAAGGAAACGGAAGTTTGGCTTTATCAAACAACTCATGGTAACCAAGGTAGCTAAAGATTTCGTAGGTAAGAAGCGCCGAATTTGAATAGGATTCAGTCATTTTATCATTTCTTTTATCAAATAGCAATAGCTGAGATTAATTTAGCAATTAAGCGGTTTGAGAAAATATTTGAATTTGAATTTAACTGAAGATAGATTGATTTTATAATTTTTCTTTATTGTACACGTTAATAGGATTTATTATTTTCAATACATGTTTATCAAGTTTGAATGATAGTGAATGAATGAATGAAAGAGAAATTTTTAAGATAATTCTTGAAAATTATTTATGAAAATACTTTGGACATTAAGATCAATGGAGATTATTCGACTGAATAAATAACAATATTGTGATCATCTGAAACTGAAACCAGTCTGGATCCATCTGAATTATAGCGACAACAGGAGACTTGATCTTTATGTTCTCTGAATGTTTGTAAAGCTTCTTTGTTACCGAGTTCCCAAATTTTTACCGTCTTGTCAGATGAACTAAGAGAAAAGAGATGAGTAAGGATATTATTGTGAGGTGAACTCAAAAAAAACTTGATAGACTTCACGTCAAGAATGAAATGTCTAGAAAGAATCAACAAACCTGGAAGCAAAATGTTTCCCGTCAGGTGAAAAAGTTACATTTAAGACCCATGAGCCATGACCAGAGAGGGTTGATATAGGATCAGCTTTGTCGACTTCAAAAATTTTGATGTGATAATCATCAGAGGCAGAGGCTAAGTATTTACCATCAGGTGAGAATGCGATAGATCGTACTGGCATAGCATGGGGTTCCAGAGTATTTATAACCATCTTAGTTTCAATATCGAAAATTTGAATCATACCATCGATGGCTCCTGTAGCGATAGTTTTACCATCAGGACTAAAACCTAATGTAAGAGTAAACTTTCCGCTTGTATCTATTGATGTTTGTAACTTTCCAGTATCGCTGGAATACATGTTTACTTTGCTGTTACATCCTGTAGCGATAAGTTTATCATCAGGTGAAAAGCATATTGTCCATGAATCAACCGGTCCAGCATCGATACTTTGAACTTGGACTCCAGATATTAAATCCCAAAGTCTAATATGACTGTCAAGCGAAGCTGAAGCAGCAATATTACCTGCATGGTTCACATCGACAGACATAACACCCAAAGCATGGCCTTCAAAGATATATTTCAAAGTTAATGTATCATCAACCCTGCAAAAAATAAGACGAGTTATTGATTAAAATCCATAATATTCAAATAGACAACTAACATACCATTGCCAAGCTTTGACAGTATCATCAACACTACCGGTAACAATGAACGTATTATCGGTATTATTGTTTTCCCCTCCTTTACTGATTCCTAGACTCCAAATGGGACCATCATGGGCCTGTTCCTCTCGACTTAATACTTTAAGCTGGTAAACAAGACAATAAAATCAATCAAAATGGACCAATAATTAGAAAAAGCAAAGACAAAAACTTACCATGTTTATTAATCACTATTGTTGCTGCATGCAAAACCTATCATCACTTTCAAAAAATTGCGGTAAATGATAAAGTTGACTGACGCCATCTAATGTTATAACTTATAACAAATAGAATAACAAAGTTTAATCAAAAATTAGTTAAAAATCCAATTAAATTCAGGAAAGTTAAATTAAAATTAATTAACTCAGACGAAACATTATTGTAATCGCTAAAATTGACTTGCTTCAATTTTGACGAACTTGTTCCAAACGAATCTCTGAAAAACGGCATTTTGTTATCAGGCGCAACAAATCAACTGGCAAGTTTCTAGTGGATATTTGAATATTTTCATCAGAATTAGTTTATTGATTTCACTTGATTACACTTGAAATTTTAAATAGTCACCTAATCACTGATTGCAACCTGATTTGTAAGATGGCGTCATGAGTAAGCTTATTTTGATTGAAATTGTAAAAAGGCGGCGCCTTAGAAGCAGTTTCAATTACTATGGTAACTGTTTTCCTTTAGAGTTGACAGATATTTTTCAGTTTCTGTTCATTAGATACTTGTGTTTACTGAATCAAGATTGTTGCTGAATCTTTTCCTGTTTAATCCGTTATTATTGTTGGCTATCTGTTTTTTTTTGTTGTTTGTATCTATACCGTTGAACTTTTTGTTACATTACTTCTCGTCAATTTTGTCTTATAGTTTTCGTTTTTGTTTTCGTTTCATTGAAAAAATTTTTATCTTCGTTTGCTTTTTCCATTACTTTTTTTCGCTTTTTTTCTTTTATTTAAACTCTGGTTTCTGGGTGATATTTAAAAATTAGTTTTTCTCAAGTTATCTTCTTAAGTTGATCATGATGAAGCAAGGATCTCTTTTAAAATGGACTTCTTCCAACGGTAATAAATGGTCCAAAAATCACGGTAAACCAAACTGGATTCATCCACCCGACGCATTGCAACGCGGTCATGTTGCCTATCTTGTCAAAGTAAGAATCTATTGTTACTTATTTCTTTGCTTGATTTGTCTTAATTGTTAATTGTCTAAAATATTTTCAGATTATTAGCAATCTTAAAAATGGTCTACTTGAAACAATTGACCTCTTTTCATTAATCTACCTGACCTATCGTATCTTTGCTCAGCATTTGTTTACATTTTACTCACTTATCTTTTTTGTTTTTTTTTCTGTCCCTTAGTTTTTAGGTAAAACAGAAGTAGATCAACCAAAAGGCATTGACGTTGTTAAAGAAGGAATCCGTAAGATGAAATTTAGTCAACATCTACGGCGAGCTGAAGGAACTAAAACACCCAAGGTTGAGTTGACCATTTCTGTGGATGGAGTTGCCATTCAGGATCCCAAGAGTAAAAAAATATCCTTCCAATATCCTCTTCATCGAATCTCTTACTGTGCTGATGATAAATCGGATCCAAAGTTTTTCAGTTTCATTGCTAAAGAAGCTGAATCTGATCGTCACAGTTGTTTTGTTTTTGTATCTGACAAATTATCAGAGGAGATAACGTTAACTATTGGCCAAGCCTTTGAATTGGCCTATCGTAGGTTCCTTGAAACATCTGGACGTGATTTAGAGATGCGTAAACAAATAATGGTGCTTCATAAAAAAGTCCAGGAACTGGAAGCTGAAAACAGAACGTTAAAAAATCGTTTAGCTAATTATGAAAATAAGTCGAGATCATCAATGAAATCATCTGGTTCTGGTCGTTCATCCGTTTTAACAAATGGCTCTGAGATAAATAAACTACAGCCACTTCAACCACCACCGCCTGTTCAAAGAATAGCAAATCGAAGTCATCATCAACAGGCAACCATCAATTTGTTAGATATTGATGATCAACCAACCGTTGGTCGTAAGCTAGAAAATTTAAGCCTTGATGATCAAACATTTGATCCAAGGTCTTATGAGGAAATTAAAGTGAATAGTACGACGACGTCAACAACAACAAAACCCTTAATAGGCTCATCTTTAACATCATCTTCAATCAACTCATCGAATTCATCTGTATCTTCTTTATCCTCATCTTCCCCGCCATCATCAATTAGCACAACATCAAATCAACCACTATCAGTGTCATCATTATCTGCAACAACATCAGTACCACCGACAACAACAACAAATTCAAAAATGACAACGATAAACAGTAACGGTCCAGTAAACAGTTACCCAGTTAACGGTCATGTCAATAACCTGGGTCATACCAATGGAACTGGTATTGGTCATAATCAAGATAATACAACTAATGAAGCTAAAGATATATTTGGATTTGAACCTTTTGATCCGGAAGCCAATAAAACCAATGGTTCTGATCCATTTGGAATGGGCTCTTTTGAGGCCAAACAATTAGAACAAGCAATTGGCGATATTGACAAGAAACTTGCTGAAATGAGAGTAAGTTTGACCCAAAATTTGTTCATTTTTCACTCTCCTTCATTGCCATCATCATCTTCTGACTACCACTTTTCTTCCTGTTTCGTGTATTGTTCATCACTTCCCTACAATTCTCATTCACACTATTCTCATCTCTTATCATTTCCCTGGCTAAATCTTCATCTTTCTCTCTAACCCAGTCTCTCTCAGTCACTACTTCTCATCGTTTATCATTTCTTCATTTCTCAACTTGATCATTTTTTTCACATGCATACAATCTTGTGCATATTTACCTTAAACTTGGAAATTGTTTCCAGCAAAACGACAAATTATCCACACTTATTACAAATTTTACCATTAGGTAACATTTAAATGAATCATTTTGTACTCAAATGAGTAGCAACACAATGAAAGGATAACTCTTCAACTATTCAGATATTTATATTAATTTAATTAATACAATTTGTTAACATTTATAATGCTACCTTATAATGTTACAAATTGCTATTAACTACATTATCGTTTAATGGTTAAGCAAAGGTATTGTGTTTGTTATTTTATTTATTACATTCATTTGAAGACTCCCGCAATTAGCACTAAATCAGCTCTAAACCGGACTTGAATTGCGTTTTTTTTATTTCCATCTCGGCTATCATCCTTCAGGTCAACTTGATGCTAACCATAACTACTATACCTGAGGTTTAACAGTATAAAGTTCCGGTGAAACAGGAAAGAATCAGTATGACCCTGAATGGAAAGGGTGTGTAATTTTTGCTGAACATAAAAAAAAGATATAAATGAAATGGTTTTTACATAAATGTGTGTTGTGTGACTATTTCAATTAACAAGATGAAGAAGCAAAACTAAAGACTGATGAATGGTTAATGAATTACAATAAGTCGATGGTGATATTGATTGTTTAACACAAAATCAAATGCAAAAAAGGAGGCCGAGTGATTGTGCTTGAACGATTTAAGGTCACTTCGGTACCTGTGAACTGTGAATGTAAAACCATTTGGTAGCCAATTTTTCCATTCTTCTCGATCACCATCAATCTTGATCGACTTGTTATTTAATCCATTCAATAGCCGCCCTCAAAACTGAGTATTTCATGATGAAGATGATATGAAAAGCTAAAATGCGTGAAGTTAAGCAAAAATTGAAATAAGCAGAAGAAGAAAGGAAAGAAGGAAGAAGAGAGCCAAAAACTCAGGCAAACAACTCGTAAAGCAACAAGAACAAGTAAACTAGCAAAGATAGCAAGAGAATGAAAAGAAATACCAAAATCAGGATTGACTTTTGAATGGAAAACTTGTCTGAAGGGAAACCTTGAAACACATCATGAATTGAATGAATTTAAGAAAGGGAAAAAATTAAAGCTAGAAGAAGATGAAAGAGTAAATGATAAAGAAGAGAAATATAAAATTCTCAATGAACTGACAAAATTCATGAAACATTGCGCCCAAAAATTGAGTCACTAATTGTTTAGTCAACGTTTTTTTGCCCTCTAATCTTTAATGCTTTAAAACTGTGTTCCAATCAACTGATCAAATCATACTTTTAACCTTTAATCATCATTTTGTTACCTTATCCCAGGGTAAATCCATTATAATGGCTTTGAAGCCAATTGTTAACTTTACCTAATCGATTACAATATTCATTTCTGTTCATATTTGGCAAAGAAAATTTGATTTACTCAGGAAAATGAAGGGAAGCAGCAAACAAAACAATTACGTTTCGCTAGTCTAACCATGATCATCTTTGTGTTAATTTGTCTCATTATTTCATCTGATTTATCATCAAATTGACTTTTTTTTCTCTCTCTCTGCTCATCCCATTCCAGACTATTAAACTCTCTTTCAAATTGTCTTTCTTTTTTGTTGTCAACCTTGTTCAACCAACCAATTGGTTAGATTAGCTAAACCATGATGATTTTTGTTTCTGTATGATGACGCTTTGTTTCCGTGAAAAAAATACTGATCCAACCAAGAATGTTATCTAACTGTTTGCCAAAGTTCAGTTGTTTTCCCTCTTGTTTACAAGTTTTACCTTATGTTTAAAGGCATACATTTGTTGATTTAACATTTGATTTAGGCCAGTTAATCACTCATTTCTCATCATTCCGACTCTATCATCTTACCATCACAATAATGATCAGTTTACCTGTACTTTTTTTCACGGCTATTTGGGCAATTTGGTTAATCTTACCACGTTATTTGAACACTTTGTTGTAATAATTGCGTGTGGCTTACCGATTAACCATTCATCATACCATTTACTGAAATTTATTTTTTTTTCCTTTTCATTTTTCTTCCTCATTTCATTACATTTTTCACCATTCTTGATGAAAATTATCATCAAATTTGGATATCATTCAGTAAACACAATCAATGTTTATTTATAAATTGTAGGTTTAGTTGTTGTTTACAATCTTTGATTAAAATGTTAGTCAAGTTGATGTATGGCAATCTTTTGAATAAATCTTGTTTATTGTGATATTAGTAATCGAAATTTCATTTTGTTTGCTATTTTAATTGTTTTCTAATCATTTTCAATTATCATGTTCTAATCTCATTTTTATTTCTCTCACCGTTTCAGGATGGATTCAGTCGCGGTCTATCTTTTGGTTATGTTGACTTCTCAATGGAAACCTCGGATCCACTAAATTGATCAACTGTTCCTTCATGGGATACTCAAGCGATGAATGATCCATTTTAGCGATGAATTTTCATTGCTTTGAACCACAGGATGAAGCCAAAAATGCATATAAGTTGAAAGTTAAAGCCAATCATTGATTCCCGTTGTTGATGATTTTAATTATGACAAATGGCCCAACCAAATGACAACTATACAAAGAAACAGATTTTAAATATTCAGTTACAAATGACAAAATTATAAATATTATACATAAATTTATTGAAATTATTGCCGATGATTTTATACCAGCAAATGCAAATTGAATACAGTTTGGTACTCAATATTCAATGGATACAAACCCTCATCACTTTGATCATCATCGTCTTCATTATGTTCATTGACCTGGACTAGGAATTGATTGCGACTGGCAAATGAGCAATTTAAAAGTGGATTGTTAACTTTGTTTATGATATTGGGATTCAATTTGAAAGTTGGATCGGTTAAACAGCTATTTATGTAAATATCTATTATACAAACGTATATTATTGAATGTAAATTTTTACCGATTGGGATTTAATTGTTTCTGTCTTAACCTTTTCCTCTTATTCAGAAAGAAAAGAAGACAAATTATTCTGACTTGATAATGATACATGTTTCAATTTTTTCTTCTTTTTCTTTTTCTTTGTCATCAGATTGTTCCTCACATGTTAACTCAAGGTTCTCGTTTCCATTTAATCGGCTAAATTGGTTACAATTAAATTATTCCATGAGACATTCTGTAAACATTAGGAAGAAACTCAAATTCAAACCTTAAAGAGTGAAAGCTGTTTCACAGTTGTATTTACACAGAACCGGAAAGCAAATACTTTGAATTTTTATCCAGTGAGACTTGAATCAATGTCTTTTTTGCTTGTCAACTTGGTTAACAGACAAAGTTTACTGTGATAATAAGCTTGACTGGCGAGACTAATGAAAACAATAATGAAATGATCGTCAAAAAACCATTATATTCTTGTACTATTAGTACTGGTGAAATTTAAATTACATCAGCTTTGGTGACTTTTTTCCTGTTCATTGTAGATACCAAATTCAATTGCTTCCTCTTTTGTTATTATTCCTGTCGTTTTTCACCTTCTCTAGACAATTGGATCATCAATAGTCTCTCCTAATTAATCAGTCTGTTTAATTTAAAACAAAACAGTCAAATGTGCAGACAAATGCCTCAAAAGCGTATTGTAAAGCTGAAATTTAATTATTTTGAAAATAGTCTAAAAAGCGAAACAAAAGACTGCTTGAAATCGAGATTATCAGCTTGAAAATTGGCTCGTAAAAGTCAATACAATTGTGACCTTTTAAACCTTTGATCAAGCTTAGATTTACGTTATTAGTTACTGTCAGTAGATTTCATTTCAATTATTTTCTATGTTTTTTGCGTCACTAATTCAATGTTTTATATCTTTAACCATCAAAATGATTGTCTAATAAGCTCAATGGACATAATTAAATGTATTATTGATGAATTGGTTAAAACCCAATGCTGGTTGCATTGTTTATTACTTGTTATCCTTGGTAATCTTTACCAATTCACTATTACTTTCTGTTCACAAACGGTATTGAAAATGGTTTCAATGCGACTAAATGGTGATAAAACTGAAATACCTGTAGATTTACATCATCACCATGATAATTATCAATTAGATTTGACTAGTTAATTCAATTTCTTCCTTCCTTTAGCTTACTCTTGAGACTTGTAACAACAACCAGCTCAGCCATTGTTTACCGGTAAATCAATTGTTATGTTAAACTCACACTGGACTGTAACTCAATTGTCTTATTACAGTTTAATATTTGAATTACAATTTCTGGTGTTTTTCAAACAATCCTGTCAACTTTCCCTTTCCTTGTTGGCTGAAGAAACATCAATAATCAAGTTTCAAGCTAATCATTATTCTCAGTCTAATTATCCATTTATCAGTTTTAATTACGTTCAATGTTTGTACTTAAAACATTTAAATAAACCATCAAGATAACAAGTACATTGTTTGTTTAAATCGCAGCTATAAAGCCAAACTGATTAACTAATTAGCTGTTTCCTAATGAGAAAAGCCACTTTTCTGCCATCAAACAGTTTATTGTTCAATATTTATGGCAAAATAATTGAATTAACAATTATGATGATTGTTGGTCAAATCATTACCATTTTAGGTTCAATTGTTTAAAACCTTAACTGCATATTAACTTGCAATAACTAAATTAAAGGCTTTAAAAATAATCTTTATGTTGATGTTAGACAATTTTAGGTGATTGATTGCGGTCATTAGAGCAACCAGAATGTAAGCTTTGATCCAGTAATCAATCATCATTATACTATTTTGGGTACCAACATGTCTGATGTACAATACACTTGAGTTTTCATCTTCGATATAGTCAGATATTCGATTTAATCAGATGCCTATTAGTGATTTAGTGCTCTGAAGCGATCAGGTGGGGAATAAAAATACTAGGATAACATGAAAATTGCATTACATTATGTATAATTCATGACCAAGTGATATCTTTGTTGTTTCAAGTTAGATAACCGTGTGAACCAAGCTGTCCAGAATTGAAATAATTCATAATCCATTTGCAGTCCAGTCAATCCACACCAATAGCTCAACAAGAAGATTGCAGTTTCTTCAAAGTATTATCAAATAATATCGCCATCTTTGGAGACTTTTTATGAGGTTGATTGTAAAAAAAGTTGATAAACTAAATGTAAATGTCAATCGATCTGGTGAATGATTCCAGGTATTAATAGTTGATTTCGCCTCAATGAGTTGAGTAAATGGTACTCATAGTGGAATAAATTGGTCTGAAAAAAGGAAAAGATCAGAATAAGTTGGAATGTCTCTTTGTTTGGAGAAAGGCATAAACATTGTAAATGAAACAGAGTTAAGCATCAACAGTTTCATTCCAGGTCAGATTGAAAATGGCTTTAGCTTAAAAATTGACCATAAACTGCTGTCAATCTATTTTATCCTCAAACAGCAAGCATTCATAGTCCAATTGAAATTGAAATTGTCTATCCACGGCCGAATTTTCGATAGTTCAAAGTTCATAACAACGTTTTTCAAATAACTTTCAAGCAACTCATTCGTCTAGCAAAATAAGAAAATTAAGATTCAAAGGCATAATTTGATTGCCATATTTCAACTCAATAGGAAAACTTATTGAAAGACAAAAGAAAATATGTTAATTCACTGAAAAACTTTGACTTTCGAGCTAAGAGTAGTACCTTATTGGGCCTAATTTGTAGTCAATTTATGTAAATGAATTTCAGAAATTCATATTTTTTGGTCTAATATATTCAATCGCGTCAGGCCGAGATACCGCTGAGCAAGTCGTTCGCTATTGTACAAAAATGTAGAGAATGATCTCAAAGTCAGTATTTGAAGAGCCCTCACATAAGTCGACATCAATGATCGAGCAATTTTTCGTCTAATCGTCAGTTTCGCTGTGACTTCGAAGTGGCGACAAACGCCAATAATTCATGAAGCACAATACCTATGAGAATACTTATTCGACTAATCATTACGATAATTTATACTCTGGTCAAGCATATTATGGCAAATGTGGTCGATTTAAAGCCGCTCATATTTGGCTCATATTTATTACAATTACATTTGAAATAAATCGCAGTTACTCAACTCTTTGATCAACAAGTTGAGACTCAACAGCTCCATCTCTCCATCTGTTGAAACCCAAACAAACTAAATCATTGATTTATTTTCAAATGCAATAACAAACTAATGGTTAAAAAGTCTTTAAATATCGGAATAACAAACATTGGACAACCATTTCTTTGCCGATGGATTTAAAAAGCTTGAATAATAAATTGAAGTCTAAATCACTATCAAAGATAACAGCAACCTATCAATTATGTAAAACAAAAAAACCAAAAAACTCAAATTGAGAAAAAAATGAAACTGAAAACGCGAAAATAAAAAGATAATTTTTTTGAAAAAAAACGGAAAATTCATAGTAAATTCAAAAGATGCAAACTGTGTCTTGTGTGGTGAGCCTAATCCATCATTATAATGGAATGGATTACACAAGGCAAGTGCATGAAAAGATGAAAATGATCTTTAAGGAAAGAAGATGATGAAAAGGATGATGAAAATGGATTGGTCATAATGATGACAAAAAAAAGTGTATTAATGTGATACTGAAATGTACCTTTCAAGTGATTTAACGTTTAATGTATTGTAACTCAATAGATGTCTCTAAACCGGTTAAAGACTGAAAAACAGGGAAGCAAAAAACAAACTCCAAAAACGTACAGATCCATTAAAGATGATCATCTCTTTGGGAGTTTGTTTGGGTATTACATAAACAAGAGTAGAAGCTGAAGAAGGAGAGAAAGAAGATAAATATGAGACTTGGGAAGATAAAGAAGGAATAGGAGAAGAAGAGAGAGAAAGAGTGAGAAAATTGAAGATATAAATTGACTGTTTTTGTGTGTTTCACTTTTGCTTTACTCCTTGTTTGGTTGAGCCAGTTTTTGGTTGTCACTTGGATTTTCAATGTTGCTGTCTTTTTTCCCATGTTCATTGTTCAACAAATATTCAAACAAAATTTACTCTTTGACATGACTTGTGAATATCAACCTCAAGCCGATCAACAACTCAGTTATCATATCAAAAATGATCAATTCAACTTTTGAACCGATCTAACCAAAAAATGCAAATCCTTGTTACCATCTAATAACCAATCCCTGTGATAACCCTCTAGTTACCTCTTACGCCATTTTATGTCTAAATCTTAAGGTTTTTGTTTCTAACCTCAATCCAACCATTTACATGATTAATCAACTTGCATCGACACTGCACTCGATCTCATTGTTAACCATTTTCACATTTTTGTGTTCAACTTTACCCTGAAACATTAAACCTCACCTCAACACTGTCCATCTAAAGTTACACCAATGGGTTGTTTAACATCAAAAAATGAGCAACAACAAGCACAACCTGAACCAGCCAATTACTCATGGTAAATAGACTTTACCTTTATCCAAATTGGCCCTTTGTCTTCCTTATCCCTACAGTTTAATCCTCTTGTTTTTACCTAACAACATTTGCTTATTGTTTCACCCTTTTCATAGCTTAAAATACAATAACAATCTGTTGATTTCCCATGCAAATCAAATTGACCTTTTTTCAAAATCTTTTTCTTCTCTCTTTTTAATCAATTGCTTTCAACAATTTACTAATTTTGCGGAATCGTCATCTTTACTTGCCTTTGTATAAACCAGGAATAACCGGGAAAATATTGATCCTTGTGAATATACAATTGAAAATGTAAACAGTTCAACAGTCATTAAAAAACCTGGCTCAGTAAATGGGAAACAGTTTATTGTCCAAAATTGTCAAAAGTCAATCCTATGCATTTTTGATTACCTTGATTCAGCAACAGTTGATGACTGTGTTGACTGTACCATCTTTATTGGACCCACAAAGGGAAGGTGAGTCAATGAAATAAATAATTGAAATTTGATGAAATGAACAAACTCACAAAGAGTGTAAAAGGTTATCCAATTTTTTCCAGTTGATTGTTGATGGTTAATAAGATGGCAAAAGTTTGATATTGATAAACATTTCTCTGTAATCTATCCACTTGCTTTGGAATGGATGAGTAGTTGAATGTGTTGAATCCATATCGGATCAAGTCTGTGGTAACATTTCAATTGAAAAGACTCATTGAAAGTTATTTCATTCAACCTTAACCAGTTGATTAGAAACCTTATTCCAGATGAATCCATGTTGAGTGTCAATAGCTTTTCATAACCATTCACTTGTAGCTTTATAACCAGAAAATAACCAGACAGAAAACCTCTGACAATGAAAAGTAACAGAATTTTTCATCTTTCACTTTCTAGAGAAAAAGATGAGAATAAGAAATCACAAGTCAACAGCTGTTTCAATCGCAATGGGTGATTAGTGACTCAAGTCCTGGTGAATTTGGGTGACCTTTAGAGTTTATTATTGCAAGAAATGCTTCAATCTGATTTGATTCATTTCAATAATTGATTACCTTTAAGTCAAACTCTAAATAATTCCAATCATCTCAACAGATAAAGCGACTAAAGCTCCAACATTCAGTGTTGCTAAAATTGGTTGAGTCAAGAAATAAATGTTTAACCAAATATTGAACCTTGCGATTTGTCGATGTTATCCTGAGATAATCTTTGTAAACTGTAAACTCGCATAAACCATTTTATAACATTGTGATCACTTGACGAGGCATAAACAAATGTTGAAACTGAGCAAACAGCAAGATGAACCTGTAAAGATGAGATAATTGCGAAGATAAAGAAAATGAGAAAATTCTTCATTTGAAAAAAAAGAACTTTTCTTTTTCTTTTTCTTCCCTGGATAAACATTCCGCCTGAAAATGTTGTTCAAATGTTACTTGAATTAGTAGCAAAATCAGGCAGAAGAAGAAGATGAACAAGGAAAAGAAAGATTTAACTAACAAGGAAACTCTGAATAAACAGAACATGGAAAAGGGTAAAGAAAATTTCAACCTTTTTTACTCTTCTTTTCGGTTCAATGGAAACCAAAGTTTACCCAAAAATCAGAGCAAAATGACCAAAAATAAACTCAATGTTATCCAATTGTTTAACCAAATGATATTAATCAATAGCAAGAATAATGATCATTATCAATAAACATATAAAATGATCATAATCTGAAATGTGATAACTCTCTTCATGATAACTGTTATGACAATGTTCATTATTGTGATGATTCTTTCAAAAGAATTGCCATTTTCATGTTCCTTTGACACTTTAATTTACCATTTATTGCTCACAAATCAATTTGATTAGAGAAGCTCAATCGATATTCCAATGAACATTTCCATCCATTGTAAGTGGATATTATCCAGTGGCAATAGTCAACAATTGATAAGTTGATTAAACATTTTGTTTCGTTTTTTCAGGCAACTTTTGTCTTCTCTTCCAATTCAATTCTCTGTCATTCTTACCAAATCATTCAATTTATTATTCTTGATTAAACTTGGCTGAAACAATCATGGTCTTGATATGAGCCAAATGAGTCAAAGGGAAGGAAAGAGAAGAAAAAGGAAGATAAAAATTGGATAAAATTCACATTTCATTTCAATTTAGAAGCTTTTTTGTTCTGGTTCAGACAAAAGCATTGGTTAAGGTTATCAGTAGCAATACTTTTGAGAAAAGGAAAATCAATAAAATTCTGAAAATTAAAAGAACAAATTTCGTTGATTGCAACACTTAAATCTATTCATTCCATGTCAGGGTAAAGATTGAAAAAAGAAGAAAAATTCTAAAATTCTTTTCCAGTTTCTGGAATCTTGAGATTGAATTCTTCCAACCTTGAATGTCTTTAATCAACAGGTAAAGGTTGTTATAATCTTGATTGATTTTTTCATCAAATTCATGACTCTATTAATCTGGAACTTGAAACAATTCTTGATCAACTCAACTTTTGATGGAAACTTCATTTTTCACAGGGTTAATGATTTTCCAGTTTCCATGCTAATTAGAGAAGAGTTTAAAAGAACAAAAATATTTAGTTAAACATTGTTAATCAATCAAGTTTAACTAGCAATTGGCAGGGTAAATCAGGATCCAGAATTGAATTGCATTCCCTGAAGGGTAAAGAGCAAAGAATAAGTTGATCACTGAAAAGTGGATAAAATGTTTTTCCATCAAATGAAGAGTAAAATTGAATGATTGGATAAAATGTTTAAAATGTTAATCCAATAAGGCGACTCGATGCTCATTCATGTCAACCTATCATGACTGTTATGATTAACTTGATTAAATGTCTTGCAACTTTTCTTTTCATGGAAAAGCGATTTTTTAAAGATTACAAGTTTTCCTTTCATTCCATTATATCGACAGGATTATATCAATGAAAATGATGATGATAATGATAATACAAAAGTTGATTTTCACCGAAAATTGAATGCGTTCAGATAAAGTCATTTTGTTGACTTTCATTTTGATAGTCTTTTTCATTTCAACCATTTCAAGTTAACAGATTTCACCGATTCTCGTGGGAATTCAATTGCAATCAATCTGATTAATCAATTTGAGTGGCTCAAAATGTGACAATAGTTTTTAACGAGACACAAAAAAAGGTTCATCTTTACCTTCACGTTGCCATTTGCGAGAGAAGAAGATTTAGAAAACAAAGTGATAATTCGTTTGTTGTTCCTGAAAAGGATTATCTTGGCTAATTCCAGGATAATTTGTAATATAATATGGGAATTTCAGTGTTGAGAAAAAGTGTGAACAAAATGGACAATTTAGAACAGTTTATGGTTTTCCCTTTCATGGCTTAGCATGGGAAACAGTCAATCATTAAATTGATTGATGTCGACAAAGATTCTGAAATGAATCGTCTTTGGCACAATGGCTTAATTAAGAGGATTGCTGACGATTAAATCAATCGAAAAATGTTTAAATCTGTAAACTCTGATAAACTCGATGTTGAACGAAACTCGAGTTTAATTGTTAACATATTTTCTCATCACAAGCTTGATCAACTTTAGCAATAATTTTAACTTGTTTGATAAAGATGATGCGACGACTGATGAGCGATCTGTTCAAATCTCGATTGCCTTAGTATTTACGAGCTGGAAAATCAAATTTCTCATTCGATTTTATGGAGATTCATAATCGACCTGCAATGATGAATCGAGACTTGCATTTGACGTTGACCTAATCATTTCAATGACAGTTTTCCAGTTCATTTCGAGATCGTCGAGCAGAACCAAATGGATTTGGATTTTTCACTCTTCAAGGTTGTTCAAGCAAAACCAATGAGCTCTTTTGACCAGTCATTCATCAAGTACGTGATAAAGTTTCACCATTGAAGTTTTTAAGAGCATTGTTAACATGCTGTAGTCTGTATCGATAAAACTTCAATATTAGCATTTGACTAAAGCTGATTCGAATATTGACGTTGATAAAGAAGGAAATTTTACATTTTTCGGCTTGATTTAGTTCCATTTTTTTCGCTGCTTATCGTTGGCTAAATTTATGATATATTTGTGTTTCTTTTTTTGGTTATGAAAAGAATTATTTATGATACAATAATGGAGTTTATAGCTTTATCCAGAGAATGAACTTTGAACAACTGTTAATGATTATATTGTCAATTATAATCGATTGGATTCTAATAAACATTTTATGTGAAAATTTACTGCCAGATATTTGCATGCACAATGGACTCAATGTAAACGATTGCTAGTTTATTGGCTTTTTTAGGTTTCAAACGAAGATACCAAGAGACTCATTAAGTGAAACTAATTTCAGCATTTACCTTTTTTTGCGCTGCTCATAGGATGCTAGGTGAAAAAGGTTTCATCCTCAAGGGTTAGTTAAACTTGTAAGATGTTGAACAGATTTTGAAGATGATTCCACGAAAAGAAACAAAAAAGGCAAACTCAATTTTTCTTCCATGTATTCACCATTAAAGGGCAACATCAGAATAATAATACAAAATGCATGAAAGATCAAGAGTAAAACTCCATGTCATTTAAATTGAATATTAAACTACAAGTTTGATTCCACTTAATAGCATTGATTTGTCATTCAAATTTTCAACCATTTACAATGTTACTCCGTTGGTTAATTTTTTAACAAGACTTATTAAAAGATCAATTCAACTAAAAACAATTTGCTTTGTAATCATTATTTAAACAAAACCTTTTAGAGTGAAACTTTAATCAATAATCCAGGCCAAGCCAAAGGCAAAACTCAACCTAGCCAGTTAACCTTTTAGGTTAAGATTTAGCTGGAAGGTTGGCTCTGTGCAAGTGAACCGAAACTTGACTTTTAAGAAAAAGATTGTTCCATGTTGGATATTTAATAGGAAAAAACATTTCGACTTACATTTTTACTTCATTTTCAACATTTCAAACTCAACATTACTGGGAGTAACTTTTTCACTCCCATTGAATCCAGGTTCAGAGGTTCAACTGTTGCCTTGTATTTCTTGCAGTTTATCATTGCTCTCAACTTGATCCATTTGACAGGCAAAAAGGTCAGTCTGAATAGACTGAAATTGTTATTCATTGATTGGCAATGTTCAACTTTTACCATTCATGTTTATTGACCTTAAAAATTGTTCTTGACTTTTCCAATTTTCAACTCAATTTTGTTCATTTTATCACATTAGCTGACAATTATTTAAATTGTGCCTCATTAAAATTCACACTTATTCTTGATCACAGAATTTGTAATTTATCTCTTCTTTCTCCTAATTCATCTTACAATTTCATTTACTCTGAGTTGAACCGTAAACTTGAATAGAGGAAAATTGGAAGGCAAAAAATCATTCTGAATAGAGAAGAGAAGATTCGAAAATCAATGATGAAATGTAAATTTCAAATATTTGCACATTTTCCTCAATCTCTATCCTTCTCATGTCAATAGCAACTTTTGATGTTCAGTTAACCAAGAAAAAAAGCTGA